AGAGTCCCAAATAAGATGAACCAAAATAAGCCCACACCAAGACACATTATAATTAGAATGGCAAAGGTTAAAGACAAAGAGAATCCTAAAAGCAGCAAGAGAAAGACAACTAGTTACTTACAAGGGAGTTCCCATAGACTATCAGCTGATTTCTCAACAGAAACTTTGCAGGCTAGAAGGGAGTGGCAGGAAATATTCAAAGTGATGAAAAAGAAAAGGGGACTACAACCAAGACTACCTAGTGAGGCTTTCATTTAAAATTGAAGGAGAGATAAAGACCTTCCCAGAAAAACAAGAAGCTAAAGGAATTCATTATCAGCAAGCCAGCATTACAAGAAATGTTAAAAGGACTTCTTTAAACAGAAGAAAGAAGAACACAAACAAAAGAAAATAAAAAATATGAATAAAATGGCAATAACTATGTACCTATCAATAATAGTTTTAACTGTAAATGGATTAAAAGCTCCAATCAAAAGACATAGGGTAGCTGAATGGATAAGAAAATGAGACCCATGCATATGCTGTCTACAAGAGACCCACCTCCAATCAAAACACATACACATAGACTGAAAGTAAAGGAATGGGAAAGGATATTTCACACAAACGGAAACAAGAAAAAAGCTAGAGTAGCAATACTTATATCGGACAAATAGACTTTAAAACAAAGACTATAATAAGAGACAAAGAAGAATGTTACATAATAATAAAGGGATCAATCCAATTAGAGTACATAATCCTAGTAAACATTTATGCACCCAACATAGGAGCACCTAAATATATAAAACAAATATTGGTTGACATAAAGGCAAAGATCAACAGTAATACAAACATAGTAGGGGACTTCAATACCCTACTGACACCAATGAAGAGATCTTCCAGACAGAAAATCAACACAGAAATAGCAGTCTTAAATGACAAACTAGATTAGGGGGATTTAATTAATATTTTTAGAGCATTTCACTTCAAAGCAGCAAAATATACATTCTTTTCAAGTACACATGGAACATTTTCCAATATAGACCACATGTCAGGCCACAAAGCAGAATTCAATAAATTTAAGAAGATAAAGTCATATCAAGTATCTTCTCTGACTACAATGGTATGAAACTAGAAATCCACTGCAAGAACAAAACTGAAAAACACACAAACACATAGGGGCTAAATAACATGCTACTAAATAATGGATGCATCAATAATGAGATCTAGGAAGAAATCAAGATACCCTGAGAGAAACAAAAATGAAAACACAATGACCCAAAGTCTATGGAACACAGGGAACAAAGTCCTAAGAGGGAAATTTATAGCAATGCAGGCCTACCTAAAGAAACAAGAAAAATCTCAAATAAATAGTCTAACTTTACACCTAAGGGGACTGGAAAAAGAACAGCAAACAATGCCCAAAGTGAATACAAGGAAGGAAGTAATAAAGATGAGAGAAAAAAAAATACAAAAGATCAATGAAACCAAGACCTGGTTTTTTGAAAAGATACACAAAATTGACAAACCTTTAACCAGGCTTGTTAAGAAAAGAGAGAGAGAGGACCCAAATAAATAAAATCATAAAAAGGAGAAGTGACAATAGACACCACAGTAATACAAAAATAAATAAATAAGAAAATACAAGCAACTATATGCTAATAAATTGGACTATGGAAGAACTGGATAAATTCCTAGAAGCATACAATTTACCAAGGTTAAAGCAAGAAGAAACAGAAAATCTGAACAGACTGATTGCTACTAGTGAAATCCAATGAATAATAAACAAACTCAACAAACAAAAGTCCTGGGCCAGATGACTTCACAGGTGAATTTTACCATATACTAAAAAAAAAAAAAAAATAACAGCTATTCTGCTCAAACTACCCCAAAATTTCAACAGGTATGCAAGGTTGGTTCATCACATCAACCTATATATTACATAAACACAATGAAAAATAAAAAATTATATGGTTATATCAATAGATGCAGAAAAAGCATTTGACAAAATCCACCATCTATTTATGATAAAAATTCAGCAAAGTAGAAATATAGGGAAATGTCTCAACATAATAAAGGCCACATATGACAAACCATAGCTAATATACTCAATGGGGAAAAGCTAAAAGCATTCTCCTTAAGATCAGGAAAAGGCAAGGATGCTCACTTTCACCACTTTTATTCAATATAGTACTGGAAGTCCTAGCCATAGCAATCAGACAAGAAAAAAATAAAGTTCATCCAAGTGGGAAAAGAAGACGTAAAAGTGTCATTATTTGCAGATGACATGATACTATAATATAGAGAACCTCAAAGATTCCACCAAAAAACTATTAGAGCTGATAAATGAATTTAGTAAAGTAGCAGGATACAAAATTAATATTTAGCAATTGGTTGCATTTTGATACACCTATAACAAACTATCAGAAAGAGAAATTTAAAAAATGATCCCATTTACAATTGCATCAAAAATATCTTAAAATAAATTTTATCAAGGAAATATTAAAGACCTGTACTTAGAAAATTATGTCACTGAAGAGAGAAATGAAAGCAGATACAAATAAATGCAAACATATATCATGCTCATGGATAGAAAAAATTAATATAGTTAAAATGTCCATACTACCCAAAGCAATCTATAGATTCAATGCAATCCCTACCAAAATACCAGTAGCATTTTTTTTACAGAACTAGAATAATCCTAAAATTTATATGGAACCATAAAAGATCCCAAATAGACATGGCAATCCTGAGAAATAAGAATAAAGCTGGAGGTATCATGCTACCTGATAGCAATTTATACTATAGGGCCATAGTAATTAAAACAGCATAGTATTGGCATAAAAACAGACACATAGATCAATGGAACAGAATAGAGAGACCAGAAATAAATCTATGCCTATATGGTCAATTAATGTTTGACAAAGAAAGCAAGAATTTGCATTGGGGTAATAAAGACAGTCCATTTAATAAATGGTGCTGAGAAAATTGGACAGATGCATGCATGCAAAAAAAATGAAACTGGACCACTTCTTACACCATATACTAGAATAAACTCACAATGAATTAAAGACTTAAATGTAACACCCGAAACCATAAAACTCCTAGAAGAAAATAGAGGAAGTAAACTCTCAAACATTACCCTTAGTAATATTTTTACTGATATATCTCCTTGGGCAAGGGAAACAGAAGATAAACAAACGAGACTACATCAAACTAAAAAGGTTTCAGACAGCAAAGGAAACCATCAAAAAGCCAAAAAGATATCCTACTGAATGGGAGAAGATATTTGCCAATAATACATCTGATAAGGAGTTAATATCCAAAATTTATTTTAAAAACCTCATAGAACTCAACATTAAAAGAACAAACAACCCAATTAGAAAATGGGCAGAGGACCTGAATAGACATTTCTCCAAAGAGGACTTACAGATGGCCAATAGACATATGAAAAATGCTCAACATCACTAATCATCAGAGAAATGCAAATAAAAACCACAATGAGATACCACCTCACAACTGTCAGAATAGCCATAATCAATAAATCAACAAACACATGTTGGAGAGGATGTGAAAAAAAGGGAACCCTTGTGCACTGTTGGTGGGATTGCATATTGGTGCAGCCACTATTGAAAACAGTATGGAGGTTCCTCAAGAAATTAAAAATAGAACTACCTTATGACCCAGCAATTCCACTCCTAGTTATTCACCCCAAGAAATCTAAAACACTAATTTGAAAAACTACAGAATGTGCCAAAATAATGTATACACATTTTACAAAAGGAAAAAACTGTATTAAAATTGTCATACTCAATATAAACCAATAACAAAAGATGAATACAAGTCATGTGTATACATTTTTTGGCACCCCCCAGTATATGCAGCCCTATGTTTACTGCAGTGCTATTCACAACAGTCAAGCTATGCAAACAACTGAAATGCCCGTCAATTGATGATTGGATAACACAATTTTGGTACATTTATACAATGGAGTATTACTCTGCCATAAAAAATTAAATCTTACTATTTGCAGCAACATGGATGGACCTAGAGGATATTATGCTAAGTGAAATAAGTCAGACTGAGAAAGACAAATACCATATGATCTCATTTGTATATGGAATCTAAAGAACAGAATAAATGAACAAACAAAACAAACAGACTCAGATACAGAGGACAAAGTGATGGGTGGTAGATGGGAGGGAGGTTGGGGGATGAGTGAGAAAGGTGAAGGGATTACAAATCAGTAGTCACAAAATAGTCACGGGGATGTGAAATACAGAATTGGGAATATAGTCAATGTTGAAAAAACAATGTATGGTGTCAGATAGGTACTTGACTTATCAGGGGGGTCACTTCTTAATTATATAAATGCCTAACCACTGCGCTGTACACCCAGAACTATTATAAAATAATATTGAATTTATATATATATTATTCACAAAATTTTTTCTGAACTTCAAGTTGCCCACATCCTCCAATTACATTTCAATGTGATTAAAACATTTTCAATGAAATGTAAAACTTTATAATACATATAAAAACTTTAATCTTTTTGTCTAAAATACTCTCTCTACATTTTAAAAACTGTAATACATTCTCTTTTAAAAGGCAGCTTCTCATGAAGAGACACCCAGAAAACCATAGTTGTTATTTTTCACCGAAAGACATAAAGACATCAGAAAAAAAAATCCATATAAACAAGCTATTATATGTTACAGAGATTTAAACCAGACATTTTAGGTTTTTTTCCTATGCAACTTAAGTTATGAGGCCAGGGATTATAGGTATAATGGCAATTAATTTATTATTTCTGTAGTACATGCAGAATATGCATTATATATTTTTTGATGTGAGGAATTGTGCTATGCATTATGACTATTATGAAGATGATTTGTAATTCTGGCATTCGATTTGGCTGAGGATGTAGAAGAAATGGTGCTTGCCATCAACATTTACATATCATTCAATACCCATTACTTTTTCTCTCTCTTCTGCCTATGCCTGAAAGCCAAACGTCTTACCTACTACAGCCTCGGTATATTTCCCTTCTGCTGGAAGAGGGAAGTACTGGTTTGGTGATAAGTTGCTGCCATATCCCAGGAGAAAACCTTCCAGTTTTACATTCGGATTTGGACGCAGGAACTTCAAGAGAATGGAATCACTTGTGGTATTGATGTGGACTTTCAGGCTTGGCTTCTTACCTAAATATGGGAAAGAAAAAAATAAGTGGTGTTACTCTATTTCATTAGTATCCCAGGATGATTGAGGGATGAAACTTAGTTGTATTGGAAAGCAAGTTATCTACTTAGTAACTCAATATCACAACACACCCACCCAAATCGCTAAAGTACTGCTAATTTTGAGGTCACAGAAAACAGACTTAATAACACATAAAGCAGTCTAGAATGCAACATAAAATTGTATGATTTAATATTTGATAATTTGTCATTGAGTAGTAGATGAGATTTAAGGCTATTTGGCTATCCACAATTGGTCAGGGCCTTCATTTTATACATACTGTCTGGGAATGGTGAAAACATCTGTGATCGGTAAATTGAATTAATGCTCTTTGAAAACCCTCAGCCTCCTCTGTGATGTTCTTTGGTTGCACAGGACTTAGTGATTAATAGAGTTTGAAAGGGGTAGCAGTGGGAGGGTTTCAGCTTATAAATAACTGAGATGGTAGAATAGGGAATTTTGATAAAGGAGAAGGACTGAGAAGAAACATGATTAGTTGTATTAGGAGCTCACAGGGTCAGTGAAACAATGACCTGGAGATACTCAGCAGTAAATCGAATATCTAAGTGTGAAGCTCAGGAATGGGGTACAGAGTCATCTGGATGTGTTTAGTTTCTAAATGATAATTGGATGAATTTTCTCAGAGGGACTGTAAAGGATGAGAAGATAAACAATTAAAATTTTAAGCCTTTTATAAAAAAAATTTAAGGGCCGGCCGAGTGGCGCGATGGTTAAGAACTCGCTTGGGATGCCAGAGGGCCCCGGTTCGGATCCCACATATGAGGGCCAGTGACACTGCCCTCCACAGCTAAGATGCTGAACAACAGCTCAACCTGGAGCTGGGCTGCCGTGAGTCGCCGGCGACGGCGTGGGCTGCAGTCCCTGTGGCAGCAGGTTGCCATGGGCTACCGTATGTAGCCAGCAACTTGTCTGTTCCCCTTCCCCCCAATTCCCCAGCACTGTTCCCATCCCCCCAATTCCCCAATAAAAATCTTTAAAAAAAAAATTTTAAAAAACTATGCAGGCAACAGGGGCAGATATTCACAATAACCAGAGGTCTTGATTAAGCAGTGAGGCACTAACATTGACCTTTGTCTTTGGTACCAGAAGGAGCGGAGTTCAAATTCCAGCTCTACTACATGCTTAGGAGTGTAGCCTCTGGCTACTCACTGAACAGGCTTGAGATTTCTTTTCCTGATTTGTAAATTAGGGATAATGGAAAACAATTATCTGTGTTTACTGTGACAGGATGTTTATAAAGATTAGTGAAAATAGCACTATCTCAAAGCTGGCACATAGTAATTACTCAGTTGGTTACTTAATCAGGTCCATTCATAACCCTTAAGCCCTAATTCAGAAATCCAGAACGATTTGTAAGGTTTTTGTAAGTTGACATCCAACTAATTTGGTAACAAAACCTGATCTGGACCATCATGAGGCCACTTCGTCTTTCATAACCTTACTGAATAGTCAGTGTGACTATTCACACGTTTTATTGTAGAAGTACTAATATATTCAATTAAGGGGTCCTGGTCAAGACCTCACTGAAGAAGTTACTTAATATATGATTTAGGCATACTAGTACATTTCTAAAACCCAAAGATTTTCTGAATTCTGAAACATATCTGACTAACAGTTTTAGATAAGAGATTGTGAAGTTTAATTATTTTTCTTTATTCCACAGGGATTTCACATTTTTAAAACATTTTATCTATTGGAAAGATTGTATTTACTAACTTAATAACTCACATTCTATTTCTCATTAATCAAAGACTTATATTGTACATGTATATATACCAGTCAGTACCTCTGAACAGCATGGTCTTTGCAAAGTTATCATATTAAATTAATACTTTTCCAGCCAAAATCAGACTGATCCACCTCAGTAACTACATAAAAGGATTCTATTAGGCCTTTGAAAAAAGAAAAACAGTCCATTCTTGGATACCAGGTTGTTGGAACCTCTCTTACCTCAGCAGCCAGTACTACTATTTCTACAATATATATGTGCATAATATTGTGTATTTCCCAAGAATTTCATGTAATTTTTCTGAACTTCTTGATTCTTGGCTTGCTATGCCTATTGTGGCAAAACTGAAACCCAGGTATATTGGGTGGCTTATCCAAAGACTGAGGGAGACTTATGTAGTCCAACTCATCTAGTCCAATTCTCTCGTACCACAAAGAGCTAGTGAGGGCAGCCACACCTCTGTCACTCTGCAAGTTAAGTGCAGGGTCAAAACTGGATCTCAGGTTCTCACTAGGCTGGACTTGTATCGTTTTTACTGAGAACGTTTTCATTATCCAATAGAGTAAGAAGTGCCCAACCCCAGACCATAACATTCAAATTGATGCTAAATGCTGATGTTTTGTCCTAATTTTGTTAGATTTTGATGAGGTGATTTATACTTCAGATAAAACAGACTTTTTCCAAGCCAGTTATTCCCTTCTAAGTTATATTAACCCTAGAGTTACTCCATCCTGCTCAATAGAACGGAACTAATACAAGTCAAGCACATATTCTGCTGCCTTAGAATGTTATCAGATCTCACAATAAATCAAAATACAGCTGGCCTGTTTTCAACACCTGTTGGGAAGAAGAAATTAGGAAATCTTAATGTACTTAGGCTGCATGCATGTTTGACTAAGAGCCAAGAGTCACAGCATCATCACATAGGCCTTTGCTCACAGCTTTTGGCCTGATGTACCACATTATTCCTCCCCTTGGAAAGTGGAAAGGACTGCTACACCAAGTGAGAAAAAGGCAGGCTGTAAACAGAATCACTGACCAACAGAAGAGGAAGTGTTCTCACTTCCTCTGCAACAGAAGAGGAAGTGTTCTCACTTCCTCTGCAGAGGAATTTTCAGGACTCCAATCTTTCTCCCTTTTGCTAAATCAACATCACGTGACTTTTAAAATGAATTGGTAGTTAGCTTCCCTATTTACTCCAAAATTCCAATTCATACTACTTTCTAGAGCAAAACTTTTAAAAAGTCCTGAAAAAGAGAAACACACACAGATAAATCATACCTCAAAATAGCACCATAAACTTAATATTTTGAGATTATCATACCAGTCCTTATTTGAAACTAGGCACTCAAATTCCTTCATTATCTTGCCACACATTACTTCTTCTCTTATTACTTCTCAACATACCTTATTTGTTTTTGATCAGCATAATCTTCTCACATTCTGCAGTGCATACTAGGCCTTACACCTATGCCCACATTGTCATCCAGTATGGTTCTCTCTCTCTTTTGGTTTGCTTCTGTCTACAGCTTTGCTCACCCAGTTATTACCCCATTAATCCTTTCAGTGCTCAGAAAAAAGTTGAAGCAATTTTTGCCCTTTCAGTCTGAATAAGCTTGTAAAGTGTTCTTTCAAATGAGTATTTAGAGTAGCATTAAACTTTATACTCTTGGACAATTTCCCCAATATTTTAGGGTATATCTGTGCATCTTATAAAAAGTTTTAATGTTTGATAAATTTATCTTCACTCTGAGTAATTCTGGTTTGGACCACTAGTCATGTAATGACAGTTATCTTTCAACAGTTAGTATGAAGGCCTCTGGTGAATAACTTAGAGATTATAGGAAAATAATACAACAAGATACAAGCTTAAGTAGAAAAACATTTGTAAGTAAAATGGCATATATATCACCCAGAAAACCCCAGGAGTACAGAAAAACAAGAGTACTGGAAGAACATTTGTTGTACCTTATATGAGAAACAAAGAATATGCCAGTCAAGAGAGAGAATAAAGAATGTTAACATTTCAGGAAAGCAACAGTAGTATGGCTGAGAAAAAAGGTGGCATATTGGCAAAGTAAAATCTTGGATTTATGATAATTGCTTCTAATCCTCTGTTTGCAACACCCTCTGGTATCCTAAATATTTCAAAGGGTGTTGTGAAATTCTATAAGGAAAAAAAAAGTCTTTCAAAACAAATTTAGAATTAATCCCTTTAATTTTCAAATGTAAGTATATGCCCTGTGGTGTTAAAAACAGTGAGGAATGTAGTGAAGTTTGCAAACCAGATAAAAGGCAGATGCCTAAGTTCATAGAATTCTCTGGATCAGCCTAAGGAGGCAGGTTGTTGTTGCTATAGGCATAGGTGCTGAGCAGACACTTAATGTTGACCCCAGAATTCTGAGTTGCTGTGGTCAGTTTCAATAAAGCTCTGCAGACACACAGCACAAACACATGACAGTTAGACCCGCTAAACTACCACAAACATTTAGTCACAGATCTGTGAGATAGGAGTTACCATTATAACCCCCATCAGTATGAGGAATTCTTTCTCATGTCTAATCTCTCTGACAGTTATCTTATACTTTCCAAAATATTACAGAATGTGGTCTATATTGTTGATATGAAGCTGTCAAATTGATAAAATCACTTCAAGAGAAAAACTACAAAATACTAAAGCTCTCTCCTAAAAGTAAAAAATATCAATAATTAGCTTATATGTTCTCAATTTTGTGAACCATTAGTGAAGAAATTAAAACTATTCTAAATGGCAATTTTGAGAATAAACCAGATCAGCATTAATTTCCATAGATATTAAGTAAAAGAATTTCTATTAATACTAATGTCAATAAAAAATAGTACTCAATCGTTTCAGGATTAAAAGAATAAACCTGATTCTTACCCATAGTATGTTTCTCTTTTTTTGCACACATTTCATTTATACAGACAACTTCTATACTTGTTCAGTCACTGATAAGGTTGCACAAAATCACATTTTCAAAGATATCAAAATAATTTAATCAATTCCCATCAGCTCAGATATAACATATGAAGCACAGATTTTTAAAATTGATCATTGAATTGATCAAATTAAAAAGTTTTGAACTTTAGGGCTGGCCAAGTGGCACGTTGGTTAAGAGTTGGCTTGGGATGCCGGCTCTGAGCAGCAGGGCCCCGGTTTGAATCCCACATTAGGGCCAGTGATGCTGCACC